GATGAAAGAGAGACAGACTGAAGCAGTGAGTGTGCACGCACCAACAAACCTTCTATGGGAAAATTTTCCTCACAGATAAGACCATGATGACAAGGAGGAGAAAGAAGACCATGACGACAAGATGGAGAAAGAAGACCATGACGACAAGATGGAGAAAATAGATGAATCACATAGCACGAAGTAAAGTAAACATACATCACTCAAACGACGGGAGAACTGCACATAGGATGAGACAGGTGGAATGGAAAAGGAGGAATTATGGGACTGACTCTGTAAACAACGAAGAGAGTTCAATAAAAAGGGGGAGGGTAAAAAAAGGGATGAGCCGAAAGAGCTGGGAGGGAATATGGGAGGAGAAAAGAAACGAGAAAGGATTACTCTTGATAAAACATGTCAATGAAGCCAGCTGACAAGCGCTGACCCCCCCCCCCCCCCCCACACACACACACACACATTGATGAGAGCTTAAACATGAATAAAAGTATAAGCTCTTTCTAAGGCGATTACGATGACAGTAGAAAATTCAAGGCAGGAAGAGAGACCTTAACAAGATAGTGAACTGAAATTCCTCGATAATGCTCATTTAAGTTATTATTACCATGGCTCGCTGGACAGTTGATTTTTCAGTTTAAATCTACCAAATTAAAGTACTAAAGCTAACAACGCTGTAGTTTTCTTTTTTTTTTTCTCTTTCTAAACGGATTAACGTGTAATGCATTGCAGTGTGTTATGTTGTTTATTCACCCTAGGGGGTTTCAGGAGCCTCTCAAAACGTCAATGTGTGCCGTTTTTTTTTTTTAAAGATCCATTTTGAATTCAACAGAGCCACCTTAAGGTGAAATTGAATTTCAAGTTTCATGCTAAGTCATTCATTTCACTCATTTGTGATTCAAAATAGTAGATATTGTAATAGTGTAGTACCTACTGCGGCTCTCGAGTTTCTATCTACCTCTTTTTGGGCTTTATCAAATTAAATTTTTCAATCCGGTTAATTTCATTGCAAAAAAAGTTATTTTGTATTAAAATTCAATTCTGATGAAGCCTTGAGACAATAAAGCTTGGTTCCAGCATAAGGATTTGTTTTATTAAAAATGTTTATATTCACTAATTTTCGATGTGTTAAATGTAAAATATATAGGGAAAACAAGCATTTTTAAGCATTTTTTTATATTTCTGGTGATTCACCTTTTCAGCGAAAATAAATTTTAAGTGAAAATAATACTTTACAGTAATTAGCGAATTTGCATAAAACAATTAAAATAACAAGATGCTAAATTTAATGAGGTCACTAACAGAAAATGTGCAGCAGCAAAACTGCCACAAATGTTTATTCAAAAGTTCTAAGACAATCAATCTTTTTTCATGTTTTATTCTTGAAAAACTTGAAAAAAAATTATAACTGCTCACATTTCATGAGTGAGACCAAACAAAACAAAATCAAAAATCAACACCAGATCTAAAAGTTCAGGTCATGCATCAGCGACACTGTATCGCCTCCGACTAAACATGATTCAGATTTTAAACGTTCTATCTAATGGAAAATATTCGACATCATCATTTTTTTTTTCACTAGGAGGATTTTTTTTTAAAGGACGTGGCAATACCATAAAGCACACAACATGCAAAGATCAACGTTTCTAAGTCTCATGCTTTGTTAACCAACACAGAACTCCCAAGAACATTCCGTCAGGGCACAATGGAATCTGGCGATATCTACTGATTTCATCAGGGATGAGATAGCCTCTTCCCAATCCATCAATAATGCAAGCACTTTAATAACATAGCGCAATGATAATATTTGTCTGATGGAAGATCGCGATAAGACAAACAAAATTGTTCGCCACTTCATTATGATATCACATGTGACATAATAAAAAACAAAACCAGCAGAGTGCATTTGAGTATTCAGGAACTGTGCAATGACTTCAATAAACGTAAATTTAATTCAATTTGAGTTTCCACAAAATGGCACAATAAGTTCAAAAAAAAAGAAAGCTAATTCAATGTGAATTTCTACAGAATGGTAAAATTACTAGCTTTTCATACAGCACTGTCGTTAAGGCTTTTGGTTACATAAAAAGGAGAATTTGAGGCAAATATGTGTAGGCATGGCAAAGTGCATGGAGCACTGGTTTGCAACCAATTCCAACTCACAATTTAACCAGTTCACCAGTATTTTTTTTTTAATTTGAAACTTGCATACAATAAGTGAGAGCTATAGAACAGAATTTATCACAGCAGACACTTTTTTATGCAAACAAATATGTAAATTATATGCAAATGAATGCAAATTATATTCAAATTGCATGAATATATGTAAATTGTATGCAAATGAATGCAAATTACAAGCAATTTGAAAGAAATATGTAAATTAATGCAAATGATATGCAAGTTTTATGTAAAGATTTATTAAAAGTACATATTTTGCAAAACAATTATTACAAAACACAAAACTTTTATTTTATGAAGCACACAAGATGGGAAATTTTATAGCATAAACATGTCACTTGCAGATTCATGTAGAATTTTTGTGAATACTCTCAATTTTATAATTATATGTAAATTTCATGCAAAAACAAATGTATTGCATAGGTTTATATGGAGATGTGACAAGCCATTATTTGACATTAATGTTCAATGAGAAAATATAAAATGTTATGACGTGATAAACGGTGACAATTTGAAGTCATAAAATTTTGTGTGAAAATAGGATGCTTTATTAAATTTAATTCTATAGCAACTTTTGTTTCTTTTTACTAAAGCTTATTATAATAAATATTTAAGGAATACAAATTCAATAAAATCTGTGAATATCAAAAATTCTATCAGTATAGTGTAGTGAAGCTGAAATTTAAAAAAAAAATACATGAAAAATTTGCACGTGAATTATGGCGGGAATTTGTGATGATAAAAGATCTTCAACTGCTGCACGTTATTAAGCTGGTTTTGCTATCGACATGAGTATTACGTTGAATGACAGTTTATACAGATCTCAATCAGTGCAGTGCATTGTGGGTCAACACAGCTCTATCATGTAATAATGCTGAGTGTGTTCATTGAAATTCCATCGATAGCTTCGTAAAACCTTCTACAATCACCAGTGACGTCCTAACTACAATCTCGGTGCTGGCCTTCAGGCAACACGTTTTCCGGGCATTTGTTGAAAGACAAAAGAAATGCGGCCTGTTCTTCGTAATTTGTTATATAAAAACAAAATACGATAAAAAGCCAATTTAAAAACAGATGTAAAATCAATTTTTTTAATTTTTTAAATTGACATCTTCATTCAAGAAATGTGTTCAATATTTTTTTTCATTTCAAAGTAAGGGCAAAATGTTATGTTTTTTTTAAGTCTGTCTTTGTAAAAATGTATTAAAAACGAATAGCAGAGGTGGCAGCAAGTGGCATAAAATCATACCCCATCTCCACAAAAAAATCTTCACCTACAAAATGCTTTCGACCATTTTGATTTATAAAATCGAAGTGTGTGAACAGGTTACCATTTTTATTATACATTTATGATGGGGGCACCTAACACCGCAAAAAAATGCAATAATTGTGATGGATAAATAAGCATGATTACAACAAAATTCTTATATTTTTGAGACAAAAATTTCTGAATCTTACTAGAGTCAGAAAATTGCATAATTTTGAAACACTGAATATTTTACAGGAATCCTGAGGAGTCTCATTGAACATTTCACAGAAATCTTAGGGAGTCACTGTGATTTTAGTAAAATGTTATGAAATAGCAAAAACATTTTTGGCAGTTGAAATTTAACAAGTTACTGTAAAATTTCATTTCAAATAATGATACAAAAAAATAAGTTAAATTTCAATACGAAAAAAAAAAATCAGTTCGATGATTTAGACACATACATGTACATGAACCAGGGATCACATATTAACAAATTGTAATAAAAGTTATTAAAAAATTATATTAAAACAATATTTTTTTTCAAATTAGAATCAGAAACAATAATATTAATAATTTACAAAAATGTTTTTAAAAAATCTTACAGTCTATACATTTAGCAAGCGTTAAAGAATGCAACCTACTTATGTGATTAGGCTCAAATAAATAGCGTTATTCAAAAGTACAGATGGGGGATTTAGTTTGGGCCACTTGTTAACTTTATAGTGCATTTTGTATTTAGAGCTTTAATCTTTGCAATTTAAATAGCAACAGTGAGTGGCATATGGTTGTTATAGTTCAAGTCGACAACGCGGATAAACAACACATTCAGAGTAACAATGTCATACCGTGTTAACAAGACTTTTCCCTTTGTGGGTAAATCAGATCGCATACACATTTTCTGTATATTCATGTGGGTGCAGAGATTTGTCTCGACAATGAACTTGGCTATATTGCTTTTGAATGGTGTGTTATTTGGCTGCAGTGAATAACATCGCACTGTACGTTTATTGGGTTTTTGTTAATTTTGATAAAGCGAAAAAATTTACAAAAATATATATGCATATATGCATATTAGCAAAGATTTGCCTTAAACTTTCCATGACCTCTCCCTTGTAATGTTCCATGTGTAACTGAAGACAAAACATTTGACTTCTCCAGTTCCAAGCACAAATATGCGCCTACATTAAAATGAAATAAAAATATTAATTGCCACACAAGTCTGGGCACTTGATCTATACTTTTAGGCCAAAATGAGATCTATCGTCGGCCAGGTCATTTTTTGTCCCTTTGGAGGTATTATTTTAGAAGGGAAAAAACAGTGTAGTGTATTATTGTGTGATATCATGGCTCAAATTGTAATGTAGACCCTAATTATAGGCTTCACATTCCCACCCCCTCATCACATACTGGTATTTGTATTCCCCAAGTCAATAATGGAAGAGTCCATTGCACCCTAATGTTGTGTATTGTTTTTAGCCAATCAAATGGTGCCTTGGAGAGAGAAGATGGTACACTTCTCTCTGATTGGTTAAATCTGTGGAACCTTTTCAGAAATGCAGCAACAAAATGAAAGAAAACTCACCATTTTGTTCCTTTGCTGTTTTCCCAGCATATCGACAATGTAATTGTGTGCTGAAAAAATAACAATGGAAAATGTAGGTGAGACGAGGAAAGAAATACCAAATACACTAACACGGCAAAGGATCAAAATGCACTAGTCTGTGTGTGAACTGGACATGCATATATTCTTCACAGTGGTATGTGGTCCTGTAGCTCACCGGAAAAGTGATCTACATTATTATTCAAAATGAATCTAATTCATACATATATATGAAATATCATTCACTGTCATCGAGGATTATGATTGGCTGTTCAGGTTTTGGAAAAGTATCCATAGCAGACAACATATATTGTGGGGGTAAATGCTCTGCAAGATATGCCACATCTATCCAGCCAGTGTGGTCAATTCACACTCATCTGGGGCTTATCCCTGACACCATGCTGTTTGAAAAACGAGCACAGCCGGACAGACAGACAGACAGACGATTGGATAGACAGACACATATTACATATTTTGTATTCCTTCACTGGATTGAATGTCTACAGAAAATTGTTATATTACATGTAAATTCTGTACTTTGAATGCAATATTATTATTATAATTAACTATAAATATAACTAGCATTATTAAAAATATATCCGAGAGAGAAAAAAATGCACAATCTATGTTTTACTCTCCTGGATATGCATAATAGATATTTATTTTTATGCTCAAACTAATTACATGTAAAATACGCTGTTAATTAAATGTGAATATGTAAAACATGAACTCGAATTAAAACCTTACAAAATAGTTAAAATTAAATGCCAGTTAAAATAGTTGCTTTCACAGTAATCAGATTTTGGATAATTTTGAAAATGGATATGGAGAATAATTACATGCATTATGCAGATACGTTTGTTGTCAAAAACAACCTAGGAAACCCTTCTGGGAGACTGGAATTTGAACAAAATAATCTGCACAGAGAAAAACAAAACAAAATATTTACAAAATTTTGCATATAATTGAAAAAGAAAAGCAAAAAGTATAGCTCAAAACTAGGTAAGGAAAAAAAATAATTTGTAGTTCTATCTTTCTTCTCCCAGAATTACTAATACAAGAAAAAGAAATCAAATCTACATCAGTAAACTCAAATAGATGACATGACACCCTTAACGCTATGTACGTGAAACCAGATCATCACAGAGACATTATTAAAATATCATCTTCCTTTTATTCATACAAAAAAAAAATTCAAAGTCATGAAAAGGTTGCCATGGCAATGGCAGTAAACATGTCACATGTAACTGTAGAAATCTCATTTGATTACCATCTTTAACAAATGATACATTTCGTCTTTTGTTCGCTCCTTTTCCTTCAACGCTGCTTGAGACGAAAATAATTCATAGCAAAAAAAAAAAATGTTTTCTCACAAGAACTTTAATTTAATCTGGTGATTATTTATTTTATTTTTTTATCAAATTTTCATAAATAAAATTACCACACAGGCAGCTACGGTACAACATTAATTTGACATGTGACTAAACCTCCGATAAACGGCGATCTTCCGTTATTACTGAAGCTTAATTTGATGGTCCATTGATTCCTTTTAATTAGGCATGGGCATTATCAAGATTAACACGTATATGCTTCGCACTCAATTAATTTCGTCAATTATGGTAAATGTATAGGTACGATGGAAAGAATCGCAACTGAATTGTTCTTTTTGGGGTGCCAGAGAGGTTAGGGGGAGGGGCACCTACATGCACCATGTATCGAAACTAGTAATAGAGCTGATTATCGTCTTTCAATACAATAACATGAAAAGGGATATTTCTTAATTTTGTGACAATTATAGACATTATGCTCGACCTCTAAAGGTCACACATCCTGGTACTTTCCGGGGGTACTGTTGTCTTATAATAGCGGCAATTCCAGATAATATCAGTTTTTATCAGTTAAGCCGGCTTTGAACTTAAATGACAACTGCTTACATTTTGGGAGGGAAACAAATTTCAGTGATCATGAATTGACACCCTAATATGGATGTGTGACCTTTGAGGGTTCACGCATGAGGTCTTTTCGAACTACTGTAATTAACGACAGTATAGTACATCCAATGTAAGTTAAATATACGAAAGTAAAATGGATGTAAATTTTTGCTGCTAGGAATGTCTGTGATTTAATGTCATTTGTGAGGCAAAAATTGTTTTTTTAAAGTCGCTGTGTCTTCATGTTTTTAGTACCCCGAATGGAAGAACATAACTCATTAAATATGCACAGGTATCAAAAACTGGTTAATAAAAGAGCACTATTTTTTTTTAAACTTTAAATAGCTAAAGACATACAGGCAGATGACAAATAAAATACTAAAATAAAACTTAAACCGCATTTTTGAAACCTTTCATTGATATTTAAGCAATTTGGGGGTGCCAGTCATTTTAACAGGATTTCAATTTTTTATTTCAGTTTTCATATCGTCTAAATTCAGTGTTCTGAATCAACAGTTGCGATAATCAGCAGTTTCAACAATATTACAGTAAGGACTGACTTAGTTTGGGGATTACACCCGCAAAAACGCCCATGCATGGTGAATTGGACCAGAGTGTTGGTTTTCTATATGTGGACTAGTACATTTTAAATACAGGGGTGGATGAGCTAGGAGGGTGAAGCATGTAACAAACTTGCAATCATTCCCAATACTCATTTATACTGTAATGTTTCTACAGAGAAAATCTTTGAATTTAATTTTATATCAATATTTTTGTGTGAGAGTATGAAAAAATCATATAAAAGTGGTATTGGTGTGAAAACGAAATCTAGTTCTTGGTATCACAAGAGCAGAGATTTAAAGGTAGTTTAAGAGGAATATAAGACTTGTAAACAGGAAAAAAATCATGGTTGCACCCTTATTGGGTGGTGATCATTTGTGATAACATTATATCTACATGTATATTCAACACAACAAAGACGTTGAAAGTTGTCACAGCGATTTTCATACACATACTCAATCAAAAACGGACATGAGTGATTTATTTTTTTTCGTTTGTTCATGAAGCATTCTAAATACTATTCCATACTATCATTACTCCTAATTGGCCTGTTTACCTGACATATTGAGATTGCTTCCAATCAGATTACTCGTAACAAAAATAGGCATGTTAATTTCAATTTCCTTGACAGACGTAGCGTAATAAGTCTGGCAATCACCAGCAGCAGTGTGCCTCATCAAGAGACATCCAGCGGAGAGGATGCCTCATTTCCAGCCGGGAAGAGAGTTCCATGAGGGAAAGGGGAATAAACAGTCTCTAAATCCCGCAGTACTTTGGATATACTGGTGTGCATTAGACGAGTGCATTAAGCAATGAGTAATGGGAAAAAAAAGCATCCCTGAAGTCAATCTCACACAAAAAACTGTCAGTTAACAAATGCATTGCGTCTCTCTGGTTAATACACTTTTTTTTGTTAATGAATTTCTTAAGGAGAGTGGTCGTCTGTGAGCATTGCTGACAACATACTTCAGTGGGTTTTTTTTCTTCTTTGCTCTTGGAAGTCCTTACAGACACCATACAAGTCTGTACGAGCAGGTGCAGTTTTCCGAGAGATCGTCTATGTGTTTATTACTGATTTTCATTCAATTTCGTACATCTGGGGAAATTTAGTTCAAATAAAAGTACTTCTTTTTTTGAAAGTGTATCCTTCATTATGGAATGAAAAGTCGTATGAAAATGAACGGTAGTTTAAATAACTTATTATTGGTTATCTCCTCTCAAAACTAGTTGAGTACCACAAGTTGAGTTGAAGATTTAAAACATGGCTGCACATCTGACTATAATTTTTCAAACTTTTCTAGATCATTTGAATATCTTTCAAAAAATACATTTTTTTTTCATATTTTTATCATGATCAAGAGTTGTTACAAATGAGAAAATGTACCAATCAGTTCTAAAATAAACAAAAATTACACAAAATGCATAAAAATGAGTAAAACTTTCAATTTGAACTGCTAAGATGCAAACACAAGATGCTTTGCCACTGTGTAAATATTGTTGCAACATTTTTCTGTATTTTTTTATTTTTCCTAACTTTTCGTGGTTATTTATAAGTAGTGCTATCATACTCAGAATCAAGGAAGCAAAGACACAGAGGATTTCAAGCATGTGTGGGAGGAGTGTTCAAACTAACTTTTTAAAAGAAAAAAGTCCCTACACTTACTTTTTTAAAATAAATAATATTTCTTTCCCTAGAGGAGGGCAGACTGTTAAAAACTTTTTTGTTTGTTTTACTTCTGTTGCCATAGAGATGAACATTGTTGTTCAGTTTTTTGAGTAGGGTAGGGGGTCCAGTTAGTGAATTACCAGTAGTGTCTTTAAGGACCTACTAGTACATTGAAAAGTTCATTTGTGAACCCCAGAAAACTGTATTAAAGTTTCCTAGACTTGCAAAATTTCAAAAAATTATTCTCTGACAAAATTAAAGTGGTTTCACGTTATATATATTGTAACGGCCGATGCTAAAACTCACCTCGGAGAAGCACATTCTGTTGGCTTTGATCGGCAAGATCTCGGCAGTCAGGCACGGCACGTTTCAAGACATCTATGGAATGCTTCAGTGACTCTCTTCTTTTCTGTTCTGATATCTTGTGTAGCGTCCGCCGATCCACCTGATTGGGATCAACACTTTGACCTGAAAACACACATAATAAAGGGTGAAAAAAAGTCAGGACCAAAATAAAACTGTTTTTTTTTTGCTGTATCCTTTCATATGAAAAAAAAAAGAACTTCTATAAGGAAGTGATGTATGATGGGAGAAATATGCAACCATCCGATTGGTGGAAATACAATGATTACATAGATGAGGGAAACATTTGGAACAATGCCAAAAAACTGGAATACTTTGATGGGCAAATCTCATGGCTCTCGTACTCATTCTCAATGAGATCTTGACGGCCATTTGCAAGGCAGAAACAGACACTGGTACTTCACCATGGTAACCAACAAAAGACCACTGTAAACCATTATATTTTTGTTGGTACATACATTCACGATTTTATAATTTAAAGATTTTTTGGAAAAGTCACTATGACTTCCCTGTCTTAACATTTTCACCACCAGACGTTTTTGCCCACATTTTTCTGTACTTTCTTCTTATGATATTCTTCAATATAAAATGAACCCTGATTTTGGAGTCAACAGACAATATTTGAGTCAATTTCAACCATTTTTATAACTGTCTGTAAACTTCATATTTTAGTTTAAACTCTAAGATGAGAGTAAAGAGTACTAAAGAAATAGTTGCATTAGTTAATTGTCTACCCACTTGAAAATACTCCTCAAATGGACATTTGGTTTAAAGGGTAGAAACATGTGCTATCTGATATAAGTACGTTGTATCAGCTCTCTATTATTATGCAAATTTTTAGTGACACGACTTGCATTTTGATTATAAGCTTATCACATTTCGAATCACCAATCGCAATCAGATTTTTTTTGATTGGAGGGAGTCAGAGTTTTTTTTAAGGTAAATCTCTCGAAAAGGTTAAACAAGCGTGAAATTGGTGTCAACGCAAACAAAGTCTATTACCAAGCATTTCAGTGATAAGAAATGTTATGTAATTCGTAGTCACAAAACAATGATATGCCACAGAGAGCCACTCACTGGTTATAGAGACATATTGAAAACCTGAATGAATGAAAAAAATGTGTTGACCAAAAAAATAATAACATTTTTGTTTCTAGAACTAAACTAAAAGCATAAAAAGATTTAATTTTAATTTAGTACAGTTATTTCACTGAAAAATATCCTGCACAAAAACTGTTTCTGTTTACTTACATGTACTGTTATTTTATCCCAAATTGACAAACAGAAAAAATCTAATTTTGTATATTTTATATAATATAGGTATATTTTGACAGAAGCCGATATTTGAAAACTAATAATTTTCTTTTAATCTAAAATTTTTTAATTCCTTAACAAATTCCGAAAAAAAAAAATCCTGTCATCACCATTTCAGCTGTTATTTATAAAAAAAATCCTGTCATCACCATTTCAGCTGTTATTTATAAAAAAAAAAATTCCAAAAGCTTAACAGCTGGCCAATAATCATCTGATCAACCTAGCCAGACACCCTCCCCCACACCACAACACCCCCACCTCCAAACAACAATGTACTACCTACTCTATGGCAGAAGCCATTAGGCCATTGCCAAACTTCTACAACAGAATTAAATGTTATTTTAAACCCAAGGGAAGTTTAAGTTTACTATATTTAGATCTAATCAAATCTGGTCATTTTTTAAATTTAGATTAAATTGAATTGTTCTATTTTTAAATTCAACAGAAATTTCCTAATTGGGCTGTGATGCAGCTATAGAACCGTAGATGTACTTACAGCTAATTTGCTTGTATCTCCCACAATGCATTGTAAATTTAGTACATATAAGGACTGTTGCATGAATCCCCATGATGCATTGCCAATTAAATCTCCCCATACAGGTACTTTTTAAATCTCCCATAATACACTGCAAATTAAATTTCATACATGGGCATTGAATTAGTCTCTCTCTTGATAATGACTAGGCAATCAAGGAACAAAATTTTAATATCATTTTTATACAATCTCATCAAAATGGCGCATGCTATTACCAATACATTTTCAAACATCTCAAACTTAGCACTGGAACACACGCTCCATATATATAATCTCCTATATTAACAACAGCTGTGTGGCACGGCCATTTGACCCATGGGCAGGTGTTGCATCAACAATAGGAGATCCTTTTGTCGAACATACAGTGATTATGAAGGCTTTGCTCCAGATAAAACATTCAGCCTCGTAGAACATTCAATAAGTTATAAATTAGAATACAGAGAGCATTATTATGATATGAAAAAAAAAAAAAAACACCAATGACGAAAAAATTAAATATGGTTTTCATCATATTTCACGGGTCACCTGTCATGAGTTCATTTCAACATTTTATGTTATCGCAAATATGGAAATTATAATCACAACGAAAAAAAAAATCTGGTAACTGAATAAATAGACTTGGACAAATACCAGAAATATGTTTAAATCCCAGCCACATTCTCAGTGATGCATGTACTGTACATGACGTTCATTGCTCATCACTCAAAAAAGGATATTTTCTCAAAAATTATTTAGCTAAAAGATAAAACTAATTTATAATGATTTGCGCAGATTGTCTATGATTTTACTGCTGTTGGCAGTTGCTAAACTAGGACTTAGTTTATAATGTTTCATATATCTAAGCGATATTTGAGGAGTTAAATATGAAATTATAGAATCCCAAACATGATGATATAAATTACAAAATATTTGTAAAACATTGTTTATAAGAACCGGAAAACTTAACAGGCAACTTAATTGAGACGTGTTGTATGCAATTTTATTTTCTCACCTCCAAGTTATTGATTTTTGTGTAGAAACACTTATATCTAAATATTTTACTCGTAAGTTTAATTACGTGTACAACAACACATGGTACACGACACTCGAAAAATAGTGATCTTTGTATCACACATAATATATATGTAGAAACTGCGCGAAGTTGGTGACGCCAATACCCGATGCTAATACAACAACCGTAGACAAGGACAGATGCAATCATGTACCCCCCTATAGCTTTCTCTTCATTTACAATAACGACAAAGCGGACAACCAACCCAAATGATTATTGCCTAACCCTTGAATACTTCATTACGTGGATCCACGATGTTCAACTTATGAGACGCTCAAATTAAAAAAAAAAAAAGGCACTAATTTGAAGTTGTCGCAGACACCCATGCCGTCACCTGCTTGCCCATTCCCTGCATCTTCTTGATTCAACGCAAAATGAAATTTCGAGGAAAATCATTCTCTGATTTGCAGCCTCATTCATTACTATGACAGCACACGGTAAAATTTAATACCAGTTATTTAAAGCGATGTAAGGAAATTAATTTAAATTTGAACTGCACATTGCACTGTGCCCAGAATTTTTAATCATTCTGTAAAATGAAGATTATGCCCCGCAGTGTTTCACGGCAGTTACTCGCATTAAACAATTTCCATTTTATGACTGCGTCAATGCGCAGGTATGCAGCACCAGCGAAGTGATCTTAATAGTTCACGGAGGTGAAGATGAGCAAAATAAAAAAACATGTTACAAACTGATTTTTTTATTGCTTCGCAAGAATTCAATTAATTTTTACTTCACATTGTTTATAGTTAGGGCTATTAAGGTAAAAACCTGATGTAACACAATGTAAAAAAACAGACACTCCCACAAGTCTCTACGATAATTCCTTGCAATGCCTGTGGCAGTAATCATTCTACTGACACAAACTGATCTCAATTTAATAAATATTTATACCATACAATGGCATTTTAATTCAGGCATTTTATTCACTCTGTTCAAAGTAACTACACGTTCCTCTGCTATTCCCTCCCCGAAAATTTAAACTTCACTGATGCTAATTTCGGAGCACTCAATAATGGCCTTGTGGCGCAAGCAAAGCGGAGGAGATAGATAGGAAGCTGTGTGCATTAAGAAGCCATTAGTCACAAGATTTTTTTCTTTCACCACGAAACGTAGAAAGTAAACACATTAAAAATATGGCTGTATAAACACAATAAAGATGTTTCCATATTTGGGTTGATGATTTTCATCCCCGCACTTAAACAGGAGCAAGAGAAGGAACAACAAATCAGAGGACCATTGAAATTGGTGAAAATCAACATCATTGGACTAAAAGCAGCCATATTACAGAGTGTCAATGCTGCAGTTATGAACTATGCAAAGAACTATATTTTGACCAATCACAATTTTAAAAAAAAAATAATATTAATACATTTGGAAATTTTACAAGGGGTGAACTTTTGGGGCTGTAGGAACAGTACACATGTACTTTATCATCCAATATTAACAGTTTAATATTTTAGTGTTGACAAACAGACATCAATAAACAGGAATAAACTACTTTCAAAATAAAATGTACTTGCAGTGCTGAAAGACTTTCAGTTGAAAAACAATTGTTCACCACCTGTATGGAAATGAAAAGATCTATCTGCTTCAAAATTAACAGAAATTACAGAAAAATGAAAATGAAAATGTTAAACCAAAATTTGTAATGAAGAAATAGACCTCTTGACAGTTCACTTTTATCTCACCCTTATAAAGACTACTTATGAAAACTGAACAAAGACGACAATGTCAGAAAAGATGTCTACGCAGTCACCACAAAGTCAAGTAATTCTATTCTCTACCCAATGCTTTCACAGAGCGCACTGTCCCCAGCAGAAGCGAACAAAGAAGAGACATGTTTATTCACAGAGGAAGAGATATCAACATCAACGTCATGTTTATTAAGAGTCAACCGACTGTTAAACGTGTAAATACATTGTTGGTTTTGTACTGTTGTTGGATTGTCGGCAGCAGGCAACATGTACATACATGTAAACACGTATTATAGCAATTCATTCAATCAGGTCTTACTGTGACTTTTTTTTAGCAGAAAACTAACACGTTTGTGTTTAGTTTCCAAACATCGGTAGAAGAGATAAACACCAAAGAAAACTACTATTACAAACAAAACTATAAAAACTACAATTTTACCCTTAATTTATTCTCACTAAAATTTTGGTACCGACACTCAGTTCACATATTTAATTATGCAAAGTTATG